ATCGGTCGTCGTTATCAGACGTGGGAGAGTGCCTACAAAGATCTGCTCCGCGAAGAGACACTGGGCGCATGGGGCAAGTTAGAATGGGCGGAGCGGGCTCCGCCGCTGACTCGGGCGGTGACGTTAGATTTCGCAGGCGCAGTGCACGACGCGGGGCGCCCGCGTTCCGCTCTCGCCGTCCCAGTTGCGCTTCGTTGCGCGCTGCGGGCGGGCGAGGTCTCGGCGACTCGGAAGCGAGACGTTGCGATCGCCAAGATCGGAAAAATGTTGTCATCAGTCTTCGTCTCACTAAGTCTGGTCAAAGGTTGATTCAGCAGGAGATGGCGAGCGTGAGTGGCGCAAACCTGGTGCGGCGGCTCGCCCGAGTCGTCGAGCAGCTCCTCCCAGGGGGCCCAGCGGTTGCCCAGGCGCCCCCTGACTTCCGCAAGTTCTCAGAGGCTCTCTTCGGGCACTCGGGCTGTCAGCGCGCGTTTTTTGTTTGGGGGGGGGTCAACCGCGCGGCTCAAGGAGGGGCGGAGCAAGTCATCATCATCGCATGAAAGAGACATCGATGAAACTGCCCTGAGAGGGCGCTGGGCTAACATCAAGACTGCCCAGACATGCATCACCGATACCTTTTGTAAAGCTACAGGAAGCCACCTGCGCGTCAAAAGAGCTGGGGGCGGTCCAAATATTCCAGAACGCAGCGGTTCAAGCATCCTGGGGCAGGGCGGCGGCGGAGGTGCGTTTTTGGTTTCGCTGCCCGTTGGGTAACTCATGCGCAGCGTGAACCTTCAGGCCGAGCGCGGCGGGTGATTCCAGTTCGCCGCGCGCAGCTCCTTTGCCAAAAGCGATAAGGGAATGGTGGAGTGGGGCCGCGTTGATACTGGGTCAGGCTCGGGGCGGAATCCCCCCCCCCCCCTGCCGCTGGCGGGAAAGCGCCCCGTGGCCCGCCGCGCTGCGTGGCCCCCTTGCGGGCCCGGCGTGGCGCCGTGGATCGGGCCCAGCAGTGGCCTGCGCTGCTTGCTTTGCTGCGCGGCCCCTCGCGGGGGCCTTCGCCGGCTCGCAGAGGGGCGGCCCGCTGCGCGCCTGGTTCGAGCGCCGCGCGGCTACGCGGCGCGGCCGGCGGGGGGGGGCGCCTGGCCCTCGCGCCAACGTGCGCACGCGTTGTTTTGGCGCGCGACTGTCGACAAAAAGGGCGCCGCGATGGATGCGCTCTCTGGTTTACCGCACTGCGCGGGGGTATGGCAAGAAACGTTTCCGCAGCTGCCTGGGCCTAGGGGCTTGACCCACAAGTTGCCCCCAGCTATTTCCTGCTGTCTCAGCCTTGTGACACGGGCGTGGCCGTCGCCCGCCCCGCTACCAGTTTCTTCTGGTCTCTCCCGCAGGGGGTGTGGAGGTGATGGTCTCTGAGACTTGGCCCGATGGGGCGGCGTTGACCCAGGGTCGGGCTCTGGCGCGCGAGTGTCGACACAAAGGCCGCCATGATGATGGCGATGATGATGATGATGGTCACGATGATGATGGTGATGTCGGGGATGAGAACCATGACGGTGGCACTGGCGATGACGATGGCGACGATGATGACGATGGTGACGACGATGATGATGATGATGATGATGATGATGATGAAAAAGTGTGAGAGTGGTGGTGGTGACGGTGATGGTGACAATGACGGTGGTGATGTTGATGGTGGTCATGTTGATGGTGGTGATGTTGATGGTGGTGGTAATATTGATGACGATGTTGAGGGCGACGGCGGTAGTGGTGATAGTTGTGGCGGTGGTGATGGCGCCGACGATGACGATGGCGATGATGACGACGACGAGACGACGACGGTGATGATAACGCGATGAGGTCGACGACGGTGACTGTGTGGTGATAGTGCGATGACTTTGGCGGCGAGCATGATGATGGTGACTGTGGGGATGACGTGCTGTTGTTGATGATGATAGTTCTGGCGATGAGGATGATGAGGAGGGGGAAAGGGTGGAGGGTGATGGTGTTAATGATGGTGATGATCGTGGTTACGATGCTGCTGATGATGGTGACGATGTTGATGAGGATGCTGATGGTGACGTTGGTAACGTTGGTGATGATGATGGTGATGATGATTTTGATGGTGTTGACGACAATGACGATGGCGATGATGGTGGTGATAATAAAGCTGATCGTGGTGATGATGATGACGATAATGATGACAATGACGGTGACGATGGTTATGTCGACGATGTTGATATTGGTGACGATGTTGACGACGACGCTGATAATGTTGATGATGATGTTGCTGATGGTGGTGGTGGTGATGTTGATGATGGGGGAGGTCGAGCAGGAGGGGAAGAGGGACACAGGGAAAAGGAGGAGGATGAAAAGGGGGCACAGGAGACAATGTCCAGAACCCTCCACTCCCCAAGGATACCCTCAGCCCATCCCCCCTCCTCCCTCCTCCCCTTGGCTCCCCCCGCCTCACCCCCCCCGACTGCTGAACCCCTGTCCAGTTGTCCGACTCTGGTTTCCTTTTTGTCCAAGCCCCGCTCCCGACCCGATTCGCATGTCATGTCTTCGCACACAATACGCGGCCAGTCAGCGTGTTGTTTAAATGCGCACCCTGGTGACGCTACGGCCTCCACGGCACGTCCGAACGGACACAGTCGGGTTCACTTGCGGAGAGCGCGCGACCCAGAGGCTTGCGTCGTCTCGGCCGTTTTCCGTACATGTTGCATCACAGTGCCGTGGGTCACGCATTCAGAGCTTGTTTCGTTTATACGACGACACGACGACGATTATTATCATACATGTTCGTACTACTACTACGCCTCAGCCCATTCGGCAGCCGAGCGGTCTCGGGCGGTGCATTGGGCTCGGAAGGTCGGAGGAGAGCCTTGGGACAGCGAGAGGCACAGGCCCGCGCCTCTCCATGCCCAGCGCGGGCGAACAACAGCCCAGCGAAGGACCCAACCAGATGCAAGTGTGAGTACCGCAGTAGGTATCGCTTTCGGTGGAGCTCCCTATGGGCCACAACACGGTGCGTTGGGTGGGGGAGTCGCATGTGTACGCCGCCATTGGGGCTTTCGGTGGAGCTCCCTATGGGGCCACGAAGCGTTGGGCTGGGTGGGGGAGACGCATGTGGACACCGCCATCGGGGCCTTAGGTGGAGCACCCCGTGGGGTCACGCAACGTTGTGCTGGATGGGGGAGACGCATGTGGACACCGCCGATGGGGCCTCAGGTGGAGCTCCCTATCGGGCCACGAAACGGTGTGCTGGGTGGATGGCGCATGTGGATACCGCCACTGGGGCCCTAGGTGGAGCTCCGCATTGGACCACGAAACGCGGCGCTGGGGAGGGGAGAAGCATGTGAACACCGCCATTGGAGCTTGCGGTGGAGCTCCCTATGGGCCACAAAGCATTGTGCTGAGTGGGAGAGTCGCACGTGGACACCGCCACTGGGGCCGTTTGGTGGGGTCCCCTATAGGACAGCGAAGCGCTTTGCTGGGTGGGGGGAGACGCATGTGGACACCGCCATTGGGGCCTTCGGTGGAGCTCCCTATGGGGCCACGATGGGTGGGGGAGCCGCATGTGGACACCGCCACTGGGGCCATGGGTGGAGCTTCATATGGGGCCACGAAACGCTGTGCGAGCCGCATGTGGGCACCTCCACTGGGGCCTTACGTGGAGCATGGGGCCACGCAACGCCGCGCTGGGTGGGGGAGACGCATATGGACACCGCCACTGGGGCCTCAGGTGGAGCGCCCTATCGGGCCACGAAACATTGTGCTGAGTGGGGGAGTCGCATGTGGACACCGCCACTGGTATGGGGCCACGAAGCGCTGTGCTGGGTGGAGGGTACGCATGTGGACACCGCCACTGGGGCCTTCGGTGGAGCGCCCTATGGGGCCACGCAACGCTGTGCTGGGTTGGGGAGACGCATGTGGACACCGCCACTGGGGCCTTGGGTGGAGCGCCCTATGGGCCACGCAACGCTGTGCTGGCTGGGGGAGACGCATGTGGACACCGCCACTGGGGCCTTAGGTGGAGCCCCCACATGGGGCCACGCAACGTTGTGCTGGGTGGAGGAGACGCATATGGATACCGCCACTGGGGCCTTAGGTGGAGCGCCCTATGGGGCCACGAAACATTGTGCTGAGTGGGGGAGACGCGTATGGACACCGCCACTGGGGCCTTCGGTGGAATTTCCTATGGGGCCACGAAACACTGTGCTGAGTGGGGGGGACGCGTGTGGACACCGCCACTGGGGCCTTCGGTGGAGGTCCCTATGGGGCTACGAAGCGCTGTGCTGGGTGAGGGAGACAGAGGCACGGATGAGAGGAGGGAGGAGGGGGAGGAGGAAGGAGAGGAGGGACGCGGGGCGCTGTCTCTTCAAAACGAGGACCCAACACCACAGGATGGTTGGGAACAAACCCGACGCTTTACACTCAGGACGCTGAAGTAAGGACCAGTTCGGATTCGGAAGGGGCTCGCTGTTCTTTCTGTCCTTCACATGGTTTTCATCTAGCGCTCCTCATGCACCCAGGCGCTGTTGGGGCCCAGAAGGGTTTTGCTCCTTATTTTGCGTTTCTTATGGTTGCAGCTTGGCGATGTCCTCGAACCTCGCCGATCCTCCTGGTCCAGACCTCCTCCGCCTTTTCTCGGAGGTTGCCAGATGCGATCTTGGCCCAGGCTGTCCCTGTTCTTCCTCCCTTTGGGTGCCCCCATGGGGCGCTCTGGGCCTCGTGAGGGTTGTGCTCTGCAGGCCATCCTCCGACATCCAGCGCCTCACGTCGAGGCGGCCGGACTGCTGCCCTTTTGCGACTTTAGGAGGGCAGTTTCGGGCATCGGGATCGCCACCAAACGACCATGGATGAAAGGCTGGACCCCCTCGTCGATGGGTCAGGGGCGCTCCCGCATCGAACAAAAATGAAGCGCTGGATGTCTGGGTTTGGGCCTCCTTGGAGTAGCTGGGGCCGCTGTGGGCAAGGGCCACCATTTGGCAGCGCCCGATGCTATCCGCCTCTCGCGCGAGGTGGTCATCCGTAAGGGCGAGAGGAGGTGCGCTCCCGCCCACCAGCAGCCTGGCGGGAGGGGGGGCGAGAGGGAGCGCCGCGAGTTTCCCAGATGCGGCCAGAGCAGCTGGGGTCGGACCATCGCGCAGGTCGGCGCATCGGCGGCATGCCGCGATCTGGAGCCCGTTTGTCTCCAGACCGCCGTCGCCGATGCATCGTTGATGCGGCGCGGTCCTCCGGCCCCGGCCTGAGATAAATGCGTGATCGTGGAGACCGTAGTTCGACTCAGAAAATCTCACAGAAGTTTGCGTTTTGGGATGTCGAGTCTGACTTTCCGAAACATTTCGGCGGTGCGCACAGAAGGGTGGCGCCAAAGCCACCCGTCCCCCTCATGATGTAATCTGTGTGCCGCGACCAGACAGCAACGGATGTGCTTTCTGTTTGCGGTGCGCTTGCTTTTGTTGCACCAGGGTCTGTTCGCTAAGTCAGTCGTGTTGGGAGCATGCCCTCGGAAGCTATCCAGCCAAGGCAATACGAATTTCAAGTCTGGGAGCGGGGTCCACCCAAGGCGACCAGACCTTACCCTGGGCTGGGCGGCGTTTCACAGGTAGGAACTGTCGACCGAAGCGGGGGGATTTTGGTGAGAACGGGCCGCTCAAATTCTGTTGAGGCTTCTCATTATAATTTCCTCCATCTCATCATCAACAACAGCACGACCATCACCAGCAGCGTTTCGCTTAAGGCGTCACCAATTCTGTGCCCGAACGAGCAAGTGTCATACTCCCCTGGCGGTTCCCTCTCGCTGGGCCCCAGAGCAGTGACTGCTACATCGCAGCTACTGTGGAGCTGAAGGAGATCGGTCGGGGCACCCTAAGCTGGCGTTTCGCTTAAGATGTTCCTGCAATTTGGGCGTGAACGGGCCAGTGTCGTACGTCCCGGTGGCTCCCTGTGCGGGTACCCAGATGCTATGCTTGCTGCATTGCGGTGATCACAGAGGTTTCAAAACAACGAATGCTTTGAAGTCCGACAAGCAATGTTGTGCTTGATATGTGTTCAATCTGGGCGTGAACGGGCACGTCTCCTACCCACTGGCGGTTGGCCCCTTGGAGTGCCCACATGCTATGTTTGTTACATCGTTGTGATCATGGGGCAGTGAGAAGTCGGGGAAGGCACAAGCTGGGCTTCGGCTGAGGAGTCCTCACAATCCTGGCGCGAACGGACAAGTATCCTACCCTCTGGCGGCTCCCCCATGGGGTGCCCACGTGCCACGGCTGCTACAACGTTGTGGCCATGAGGCTTGCAAAAAAAATACATGGAAGCCCAAGCCAGAGTTTCGACTAAGACGTCCCCACAATCTGGGTACAATCCTGCAAATGTTCTACCCATGGGCGACTTCCCCTTGGATGCCCAAGTGCTGTGAATGCTACATCGCTGTGATCATGGGGCTTTCAAAGTGAGAAGTCGGGGGAACCCGCACCAGCGTTGCGCTTGAAACGTCCCCACAAGCTGGCCGCCAATGGGTAAGTGTCCTACCCCCATGGCGGTTCCTCCTGCGGGTGCCAACTTGTTGTGCATGCTACATCGCGGTCATCACGGGGCTCCCAAAAGAGGGGTCGGGGAAGCCAACACCAGCATCACACTTGGGACGTCCCCACTATTTGGGCGCCTGTGGGCAAGTGTCCTACCCCGTTTGCGGTTCCCCACTTGTGGTTCCCAAGTGTTTTGTTTGCTACAATGCTGTAATCGTGGGCTGGCACACCAACGGGGCGGGGGAAGCCAGATTCAACGTTTCGTTTGAGATGCCCCCAACGTCTGAGCGCGAACGTGCAGATATCCTACCTTATGGCGGCTCCCCCTTGGCATGCCTGAGTGCCAGGCTTGCTACATCGCGGTGGTCATGTGTGAGCGAGCCTGAGTATGATTGCGAGACTGAGTGTGAGTGAGTCTGTGTGCGCCAGGTTTTGTTTACGAGTGGGTCTGAGTGTGAGTGAGTTGAGCTGTGAGAGCCAGTGTTCCAATGCGTTGCATGCTACATTGGGAAGCCAACACCAGCGTTACATGGGAGATGTCACCACAGCCTGGGCGCTTTGGCGCGCCCAAGTGCTTTGCAACATCGCTGTGCTCATGAGGCCATCAAAATGAAGGACGTGGAAGCCAGCGCCAGCGTTTCGCGTGAGACATCCCCGCGATCTCAGCGAACGGGCTGGTGTTCTACTCTCTGGCGGCTTTTCCTTGTAATGCCTAAGTGCTAGGCCAACTACATCGCCGTGGTCATGGGTGAGCGAGTCTGAGTATGATGGTGAATCTGAGTGTGAGTGAGTCTGAGTGTGCAAGATTATGCGTGTGAGTGGGTCTGAGTGTGAGTGAGCCTGGTTGCGGGCGAAGCTGAACGCGAATGAGTTTGAATATGCGTGGGTCCCAGAGTGAGTGAGTTTGAGTTTGAGTGTGAGTGAGTCTGGTGAGGCGGGGGGAAGAGGATGCGTACTTAGGATGTTTGGAAGCAAGGTGCTCGATCTCGATCGAGCTGCGGCACAGCGGTGGTCTAGACGGAGCGCATTACGGTCGTTGCCGTGACTAGAGCAACCCGGCTAGGCCGGTATCGATTTCCCCATAATTCTTTGCAAAGTAGTTCCATGTAGTTGTGCTCGGACATGTCGGCGCTGTTGAACGCCTTGTGTCTTGCGTAAGTTACGAACGAATTTGGCTTCGTGAGCTGCGAAACTTAAAGCGAAAGTTCATTTCGCCAGCACGAATATGGCGGATTTGTTTTGGGTGATTCGGTATCGAAGGCGCGAACCTGGTGCAATGTATAAGGGAGTCTGGCCTCGAGGGCGATTCCGGCGCGCCTAGTGCAGTTTACAAAGGACAATTGCCTCGGGGGCGCGAGTCTCACGTATTTTTGCATATCCCAGGGCCTTCAGACATTTAAAGCACGCGATTCGGGCGTGCTGAAATTGCCAGTGTGCGGTCCCCCCCCACTCGCGCGGAGAGTAACCATTTACAGTGGGAAGTAGATGGTAGAAGTGCCACATTCGTTGGAGGTTGGAAACCGCATCCCGGGAGTCTGATGGCCCCAAAATAGGGCCAGCGAATCTCAATGATCAATGTTAGCCAGCGTGGGCTCCACACAGTGTGCTTCTAGCAATATGCGTTGTGCAACCAATGTGGTGCAATCTATGTGGTTCAATGAATTGTTTTCAAACGAGTTGACGCACCCCATGTTCTTGCAAACATCCCACCCACCCACTCGCAACTATGTTTGCAAAACTAAGTTGCGGTGGCGATTGCGATGCATGCTTGGCGTTGGTTGGTGCATCTCTGCGGCCGCGCCAACCCTAGCACGCGCACGCAGCCCTCTTGTGCCACAGTTGTGCCAGTTCTGCCAGTCATCATCGTCATCCTCACCGTCCAGGGGTCCTCTTAGCCCGTCTTGGGTCCCTCCAGCAAACCTTTAGGGCCAGCTTGGGGCCCTCTTGGGTCCCTCCTGGGCTCTCGAGGGGCCCTCTTGGGCTGTCTTGAGGCCGTCTTGGAGGCCTCTTGAGCTATCTTGAGGCCCCCTTGGGCCGTGGTCGGGCCATCTTTGAGGCCTCTTGGGCCGTCTTGAGCCGACGGAAGGTTGAAAAGGCGAGAGTGCGGAAATCCTTCAGAAATCTAAGGGGGAATCCATGATTTGTGCCTCTTCGGGTCTTGCTGGAGGCTCCCTTGGATCTCCCTTGTGCCACAGTTGTGCCAGGTGTGCCAGTCATCATCGCCATCCTCATCCTCACCGTCCAGGGGTCCTCTCAGGCCGTCTTGGGTCCCTCCGGAGGCCCTTAGGGCCAGCTTGGGGCCCTCTTGGGTCCGTCCTGGGCTCTCCAGGGACCCTCTTGGTTCGTCTTGAGGCCGTCTTGGAGGCCTCTTGAGCCATCTTGAGGCTACCTTGGGCCGTCGTGGGGCCATGTTGAAGGCCTCTTGGGCCGTCTTGAGTCGACGGAATGCGGAAACCCTCCAAAATCTCAGGGAAATCAATGGTATGTGTCCCTTCGGGTCTTGCTGGAGGCTCCGTTGAAGCCCTCTTGTGCCACAGTTGTGCCAGTTGTGCCAGTCATCATCGTCATCCTCATCCTCACCGTCCAGGGGTCCTGTTAGGTCGTCTTGGTTCCCTCCGGAGACCCTTTAGGGCCAGCCTCGGGCCCTCTTGGGTCCGTCCTGGGCTCTCCAGGTTTTGAGGCCGTCTACGAGGCCTCTTGAGCTATCTTGAGGACCCCTTTGGGCCGTGGTGGGGTCATGTTGGAGGCCTCTTGGGCCGTCTTAAGTCGACGGAAGGTTGAAAAGGCGAGAGTGTGGAAATCTCTCAAAAATCTAAGGGTGGAATCAATGACTTGTGTCCCTTCGGGTCTTGCTGGAGGCTCCCTTGGAGCCCTCTTGTGCCAGTTGTGCCAGTTGTGCCAGACACCATCGTCTTCCTCATCCTCACCGTCCAGGGGTCCTGTCAGGCCGTCTTGGGTGCCTCCAGAGGCCCTTACGGCCAGCTTGGGGCCATCTTTGGTCCCTCCTGGGCTCTCGAGGGGCCCTCTTGGTTCGTCTTGAGGCCGTCTTGGAGGCCTCTTGAGCCATCTTGAGGCTACCTTGGGCCGTGGTGGGGCCATGTTGGAGGCCTCTTGGGCCGTCTTGAGCCGACGGAAGGTTGAAAAGGTTCAAATCCTTCAGCGATCTAAGAGGGAATCCACTTTGACCGTCTTGAAGCTGTCCTCTCCACTGCTCGTGCAAACATCCCACCCTCCCACCCGCAACTTGGTCACAACACCTCTTAAGACAAGACCATGACGGTAGGTACCACATGGCACCTGGCCACGACACCGTCGCTGACGACGACAGCGACAACGACGACGACGGCGCCGCCGACACCGACTACGACGACACCAACGACGTCTCCAACGACTTCGACGACGACAACGACGACGACGACGACGACACCGACGACGACGACGACGCCGACGACGACGACGATGACGACGCCGACGACGACGACGACGACGACGACGACGACGCCGACGATGACGACGC